ACGTTAAGTTAGTAAGAACTTGAACGTTAAAAGAAATAAAACCAAGGCATATGATAAGGGGTTCTATGCCGGATTAAGGGTAAGCTATACTTAGAACGATTATGAATCGTAAAGTATTGTTTAAAAGGGCGGCCGTGAGGGGACTATGGTCACCACGGGTCGTTGGCTAATAAAACGATGTAGATAGAGGTTGCGGGTAACCGTTGAACCTAAATGATTGTGTGTAAGCCACAGAAAGATTCAGTGGAATCTGTGGTATGGTTATTGCGGGAACCACAGAAAGGTTGGTAGAACCTTGTGGTGTGTTAGGACACAAGCCCAGAGACTCGGAGGGATACTTGGGTCGCTCCCATGGCCGAGTGCTGCATGACGATGTGGCCCGACTGGTCAAGAAGGAAGGACCACGAAGTCGGAAGCAAGGCCGGTTCATGTGCCTGAGTGGCTATGAATAGCGGGACCTTGCCGGGCTAGGAGGTGTCAATAGTTACATGCTGTAAGGCATGTTGGGTTGGGATCCCACCTGTTCGGTAATGTTATGTGAAATTGTAGCTTCCGCTGTAGCATTTGGTTGATAGCTGTTCCGTGAAACTTATGTGCGACTCATTGTGTTTGCTGCTTTCCCTTGTGTGATGTGCTTCGGCTATCTGGGGTGAGATGGGGAATTAACGTGTTTAGCAGGGCCTGCACTCACTGGGCATTTTTTAGAAATGCTCATTATACGTTTTTGTCTCGCAGGAAGCCGTAGACAGATTTAGAAGGGAAGGCATCGGACATTAGGAGTGCTGGAATAGTTTTACGGTGGGATTGTAAAGAAGTCTTGAAAGCTATTTCCGGAATTGGTTTTGTAAGTAAAATGCTTTGTCGGATTTCATGTTGTTAACGTGCTTTGTAAAGATTTTCAATATGAATAAAAGGCATTTTTCTGTACAAACCTCGCTTTTCAAGATATTAGACCCTGGTCCGGGTCGGAACAACTCAAGATTGGGGTACGGGTTGAAAAGCCTTAGGCCTTGGTCAAGAGGAATGATATCGGTAATAGTTTAGTTAGAGTATTATGGGATGCTCTAGCCAGAAGTGTTCAAAAAATCGGTCTAGTCGGCGACTAGGCGGCCGCCTTGGCGGCTAGTCGGGGTTAGCCGATCCGATTTTCATAAAATCAGTGAAGCAGATCCGGTTTAATAAAAAATCAGAAAAAATCGGAAAAATCGAACCAAATCGGTAAAATCGGCCAAATTAGACTAACTATTTTTATCTTTTTTCAGTCAATTTTTACGGTTTTGGATAGTAAACCAACATCAGTTTACAGAAAAGAGAAAAAAAGATTTGAAACGTGGATTAGGGTTAATAACTTAATATAATCATCCTCGTTCCTCCCCACTACTTCACCTTCATAAACTACAAGAGGGGATCATTATTCTCTATTGCTGAACTCTACGAATTTTCTCTTTATCTATCTGTATATATTATATAACTATATTGTATTCTCTTAATTTGTCTTTTCATCTTTGTTTACTTTGTTTGTGCTCTGTTTCAAGTTTCAACTTTCAATTTTAACGATGAGCCTAGAGGAGATATCGATTCCGACGATGAAAATAATATAGCTACTGATTTTGAATTTGAGTCTAAAAATGAGCAGGTGGTGGATATGGACGTGTTTAAAGAGTAAGTTAGATAGATTTCTCTTTGATTTACATTTTTAAAGCTTTTAGATTAAAATTTATTTTAGTTTGAAGAATTTGATGATTTTTAGTTTGATTTCTTTGTTGAACTTTATTATATAATTTTATTTATTAATTTTTCTTACTTTTTATTCAAACATAAATTTTGATAAAATAATTTTTAAGAAAACAATTAAAACATTTTTAAAAATATGATATATAGATAAAAAATTTATAATAATTAACGAAAATTTTGCTAACGCCTAGGCTTCGCCTAGTCTCCGATTAATCCGCCTAGCCACTAGTCTCCTATCACCCGCCTAGCCATCGCCTAGCGATTTTTTGAACATTGAGCCAGACTATCCCCGGTATCATAATGCAACACTCATGATTCCTTCTAAGTATAGAATGAATCGGGGGTGTTACACCTAATCTAGACATCATAAATATCGTCATTCCATTAGACATTTTATTTATTAATTTTTACATTTTCGTTAGATTTGACTAAATGTCGGTTTTATTAGAGAAAATAGATGATATTTATACTAAATAATAAGAAATCAAAAATCCTATAAACATAAGAAATCGTAAACACTAACCTATATATCATAATTACCGCCATTCTATTAGCTAGAGATGATTTCCTTTTTTTCTAGCGATATTCCATTAGTTAGAGATATAGATTCTTTTTTTTAAAATTTTTTTGTTAGATTATTTTTTAAATTTTGGGTTTCTAAAATTTTAGAAATGGTTTGATTTGACAGCAAAATAAATCATTAAACCATAATAATTTAGACCGGTTTGTTTTAAGTTTTTTTTACACATCATCAGATAAGAACCAATAAAAAATGACACGTAATTGCAAAATGGGGTTAAACTGTCTTTTGCAGCTGAAACTCATCCTAGAGCTGACACGTAAACAAAAATCTCTTAAACTTGCTGTGAGCATGACACGTAAGTAAATCACTACACAAATATGTGTATAGATTTGGTAAAGATTAAAACTAATTATTGAGCACTACTAAAGAAGCCGAATACAAAAGACTGGCAAAATTATTAAAAAAAATTCTTTTTTTAAATGTAGAAATAACAATATAGAATTGAAATGTTTAATTAAAAAGCCTCAAAACTAATATTCCCTAAAATCAGAAAGAAAGAGAAATCATGCATCTTTGTGAATTAAAAAACGAACTCCAAACATGTAAAGGATTCACCATAGCATCACAATTTAATAGAGCTAAGTAAGCCTTTAAAAGACATAATGGAGTACTCCACTGGCTTGCCTCTAAAAAACTTCAAAGTACTCAGCATCATCACCGAGGAAACATGTTTTCCATTGTTTTTTTCTTTGATCTCAGACCCAGTTCGAAACAAAATTGGTTTTCTTGAGACGTAGTTATTGTAGGATTTGAAGGGTTGTTGATAACTACAAAATAAAACGACATAAGAATATGAAAAATATCTTTTTGTTTAAAATTATCAATATAATATATGTTAATACTTGTTTTTTAAAAACATTAATATAGATTTACCTGATGACTCCATGAATTTTTAGTTAGAATAAAAAAGAAAGAAGATGTTTAACAATTGTGAAAATTAAGAGAGAAATAGTGAAAAGTGGCTTATACCTTATATATAAAAGTTGCTCAACTTTTTCCATATGCTTGATACATCAGCATTGGAGAGGTTGACACCTGTCACTTAAATTTTAATTAATAAATTTTAATATTAAACTTGAAAACACTTAAAGAATATGAAAAGTTTGTTTTATTAATTGATTCTTAACTAATATTTATATTAATGTTAAATAAAAATTATATTATAACTAATTAAAAATATTGATAGATATGTATTTAATGTTTATATAACTGTAGATTACTTAATAATATTCAAGATGTATTTTAAATTAATGTTTTAAAATTATTTATGATAAAATACTAATAAGTAACAAATGAAATGATGATTATATTAATTTTCGTTTTTTATTAATTGTCTATAATTAATATTTGTGTAAATATTAAACAAAAATTTATGTCATAATTAATTAAAATATTGAATGATATTTATTAATTTTAATATAATTTTAAATTGTTAAATAATATTCAATATGTATTTTAAATTAATATTTCAAAAAATTTTAAAATAAAATATTAACAAGTAAGTAATTAACGAGTGATGAATATATTAGTTTTTATAAAAATATAAAAAAATTTGAAAAAATTGAAAAAAAAACCTGCACATTACATGCGGATGTTGACCTAGTTTATACTAAACCATAAGAAGCCTTTGTCTAGATTTTTGTTAACATTTTAGTTAGGGTTTTTTATTATTTCGAAGATATTAGAAATGATATATTTCTTATTTTTATTTTATTTTTATAAAAACGTTTTTGAAGATATTAGAAATGGTAAATTTGATTTTTTTTTTATAAAAACGTTTTTGAAGACATTAGAAATGGTAATTCTTTTTTTATCAAAACATTTTTGAAGACATTAGAAATGGTGAATTTTGTTTTTTTTTTATAAAAACGTTTTTAAAGACATTAAAAATGGTAAATTCCTTTTTTTATAAAAATATTTTTAGTTTTTTTCCCCCTAAATTTTTGTTTAATTTTATTTTAGAAACGCTTTGATTGACTATGGAATTAAGCATTTAACCATAATAAGTTAGACCAGTTTGTTTTAAGTTTTTTTTTAATCATCAGATGAGAACCAATTAAAAAATGACACGTTCTTGCAAAATAGGGTTAAACGGTCTTTTTGCGGCCAAAACTCATTTTGGAGTTGACACGTAAGTGAAAAGCGGTGAAATTCGCTGTGAAAAGCAAATCACTACATAAATAAGTATATAGATAATTAATACATTTAGTTATTACAAAAATTAGAAACTTAACATTGAATAAATTTGTGTGTAATATATTCTATACAGTATTTTCATTTTTATTATTCTTATAGTAGTAGCTTTAATTACATAGTATAAGTTGTCCCTAAAGAAAATTTTTCTTGTTCTCATTTCTGTCTATTTCCGTCTTATTTCAAGAACTGATTTTTTTTTTTTGTCAATAAACAAGAACTGAAATTTTTTGTTCATAAAAAATGCATTCATTCACATAAAAACTGAAACTTGGGATTAGAAAAGGGGATGAAACATGAAGGGCCCTTAAATGATGCCCATAATCTTATGGGTAATTAAACTATTATTAATCATAGTTTAAGAAGAAATGTGCAAAAATGTATTTATAAGAGAAGTAAATGAGTGAGTCGTAGTGGTTACAACGTCAGTGCAGCTTCTTAGGAAGGTTTCTTCTTCTTCATCTTCCCACAAATTGTCAAAACTCTGCCTCTCTCTCTTCTTAATCCCAAAAATATAACCTTTTCTCTCCTCTCCTTCTTCTTCTTCTTTTATCACAATCCACCAAACACAAAACACATTCCTAAATAAGATCTCCACTTTCCGATCCTCTTGTTCCTTCTTTGTCGGCAGTTACAAACCCTTTAAGTTTCCCCGAAACCCTCCTTCTTAATCAGAGACTCCTCACTCAAAAATTTCAACACTTCTCTTCTCTTTCTCTGTTTCCCAAAATGTCTTGTCTTTTAAGCTGCGTCCGTTTCGATGACTCGACCACGACCACCGACAACAAACCCACCACGATTACTGGATCTGTCTCTGTCTCCGGCGTAACCTGTTATACCTGGGACGATGTCGAGTCCCTCACTTCGAATTTCTCTAGACTCATCGGTTCCGGTGGCTACAGTAGTATCTACCTGGCTCGCTTGTCTGGCTCAAACAAAGCCGCTCTCAAGGTTCATGTCGGTAGCCATCGTCTTTATCAGGTGTTTAAGTCCGAGCTTGAAATCTTGCTTCGTCTTCAACATCCTCACATTGTCAAGCTTCTCGGTTACTTTGACGATTCAGGTTTCCTTTCTTTTAAAATTCGGTTAAATCAGCGAAATTCATGAATTTAGATTATTTTCTGTGATGTAATTCTTCATCAAGATTTGATTAATCGTTTCTTGTGTGAGAGAATTGGTCTTATGATTCACTTCACATGTGGACTCATGGCAAAAGTCAAATACTTTAAAGAACAAAAGCCTTGAGATTGTTCTTATTCTTGTCTTGTGACTCTTGTCCTCGTTAACATTCTTTCTATAGATTCAATTCTTTATCCAAATTAGTGGTTTTTTGCTTTACTTTTACAACTATTCGTTTGCATTCAATTGGCTTTTCTTTGTTGCAAGTTACTTATCAAATGTTCTTCTTCCTTTTTTTAGAAGAAAGTGGTGCACTTCTACTAGAATACCTTCCACAAGGTAACCTCCAAGAGAAGCTAAACCGCAACAGCAAACAAGTCTTGCCATGGAGAAACCGGACCGCAATAGCGTTTCAGGTCGCGCAAGCGATCGAGCACATTCACGAGAGATGCAGCCCTCAGATTGTTCACGGGGACATCAAATCATCAAACATCCTCCTTGACAAGCATTTCAACAGCAAGCTCTGCGACTTCGGATCCGCCAAGGTCGGGTTCTCGTCTATGGTTCAGCCTTCCACAACGACGATGTCTTCTTCACCACGCTCCAAGCAAGTGAGGATGATCGGGTCTCCAGGGTACACTGATCCTCACTACTTGAGAACCGGGATCGCTTCCAAGAAGATGGATTTGTACGGGTTTGGAGTGGTGCTTCTTGAGTTGGTTTCGGGTAAAGAAGCGGTTTGCGCCGAGAGAGGTGAGATGCTTGTGCACAAAGCTGCTCCGTTGGTTCATGAGATTCTTGATTCGAATTCAGATGTTGCAGAGGAGAAAGTGAGACAGTTCTTGGATCCAAGGTTGTCTAGGGACAGTAGTCTTGATATTGATGAGGTTAAGACAATGCTCTGTGTGGCTGCTTTCTGTCTTCGCAGCCCTCCATCTCTTAGACCTTCGGCTTCTCAAGTAGTCCAAGCTCTTGTCCACAAGATCCCATCTCTGTCTTTCCTCGACTGTGGAAAAGAAATGTGAGTGATGATAAGACGGTGAAAGGTTTAGGGTAGTGATTGGTATATAAGACGCAGAAAATATCTGAATTTTGCCAAGAAGATTTGAGTTTCGATGTATAGGAGATTCTGCAGAAACCCAAAAGAAGAAAAAGGAAGATTCAAACTCTTCTTCTGCTTAGTGATGTGTACAGTAAACAGCAAACAACATTTTCATGTAACAAAGTGGATTTTGCAAACATTACTGTGTGCAGTATAACACAAATATTTGGTGAATCTGTTTGTCCTCAGCTAAATTCTCTCTTATTGCAAGTAACGCATCAGCATGAGACAAACGAAAATTAAGAACTTTAAAATCGAACAAGTCAAGAGTTTTTACAATTTTTAGAACAGGGCCTTGAAGGAGAGAAGAAGTAAAAAAAAAGCAGAGCTTTTTCTAAACCCATTAGATACAAAAAGAACAATGAGCCTTTAAAAACCCAATTCTGATTCCTTTCTCTTCTCGGACAAAACATTTCGGCGAAGCAATGTCGTCTTTTGCGCTAACGTTACATATTCCGTCGGTGGTGTCGGTGAGGAACACCAAACTCGGACGGAGTCTCAGTGATTGTGGTCGGAATTGGTCAGGACTTACTAAGTTGTCGGAGAAATCGAAGAGCAAACGAGGTTATGGTCTCTGCTGTAAGGCGGAGCTGTCGGAGCTAGCTCCAGCCGTCTCTGCTGGTTATGGTGTTCTTCTTCTAGGAGGCGGTCTCTTCGCTTGTAAGTTACTGATCTCATGAAACAGACGTTTTTATTTGGATTTTTATTGCTCACTTCACTAAAATTTTGATCTTTTTGGTACCCAAAATTTGAAGATAGCAAATCTGGAAGCAAGGGTTCTCTCTTTGGTGGTTTGACTGGTTCTGTTCTTATGGCATCTGTAAGATCTTCCTCTCTCAGTTATCATTGATAGTTTCTAGTTGCTGCATAGCCTGTTAAAGTTTAAAGTTGACCTTTGAGGAAGGTAGTGAGGAACTAACTGCACTGTTCAAGACATTGTTTCTGCTTGATGTTGCTCTCCTCCAAGCTTTGTTTCAATTCCTTGAGCAAAATGGTGTCTCTGTCTCTTTAGCGAGGCTTAAGAAACTAACTTAAGAATTGATCTGGTAGAATATTTTGATACTGTAGCATAACCTCTGTTCCTTTCATATTGTATGGTTTGTGATATTGGATCTTCTCTTGCTAAGTATTAGATTTGAAGGTCTATATCAACCTTACTTACTCTAGTATGTTCGGCAAGCTTGTCTGATTACAGCTGCATAACCCCCTGTTTGTTTTCTATCTTGACCGTTGTATTGTATCTTCTTGATTTGTGATCCATTAAATCTGTGTTTTACAAAACCTATCTGTGTTTCCTCGTTAGCGTAGTTCTTCTTGTTCAAGTGTGATTGTTAACTGAGCATGCTAATGTTTGAATTATCTCTATATAGGCCTACTTCCTCACTAAGTCACCAGAGACGAGAGTGCTTGGCGATACCATAGGACTAGGCTCTGCCTTCCTCTTCTCTTCCGTCTTCGGTAAGAACAAGTCCTAAGAAGATGTGTTTTGTCTTTGCATATATGTCAAATGCGTGACGAATCTTTTCTCATTTTCTGTTCATTTCTACAACTTCTTGCAGGTTTTCGTTTGGCATCTTCCCGGAAACTGGTCCCTTCGGGGCCGCTACTCCTCCTTAGCATCGGCATGTTGTCCTTCTTTGTAATGGCTTATATGCACGACAGTTTACCCGCTATACCCGTACCGGATCCGTTACCTCTACCTTAAGCCTACATGACCATGGGCTTTTAAGAAGACAGGACAGTTCTCAAAGCATGAATCAGAAACTGTTTTGCTTTTGCCCACACACCAATAAATTGCTAGGCTTTGTGAGGCTAATGTGGAGAGAATAATGTTTGTTTGAGGTTTGTTGCTAAATCAGACACAGATGCATCTCCATTCTAGATGAAAGTTTTTAGCTTTCTGATCTTCAATGATAACAAGAGTAGGGTGAAATATTTTGTGAAAAAACTCTTTGGAAATTTGAGCGAGATTGGCTACAAATAGTCAAGATAGAAAGTATATGAACTCAAGACAGAAAGTGATGTACCATTGAATTTGTTTGATATAAGAACTACAAGTTCCTGTAACATCAAGAGCCAAGCTTATGCAAAAAACTATAAGAATCTATTGTAGTGCAATAAACAGACTATATGTATATGGTTAAAAGAAATGAGTATGGAGTTCTTGTGTTCTAACTAGCTTGGATCGTTTGAGCTGAAGGAGTATCGTTATAGACCAATTCCTCGACTGGATTCATCTCAGACCACGTGGCAACATCTGCATATCCCAGATCAAACAACTTCTCCAACACTTCGTCCTCTGCTGGCTCCAGTGCCCAATTCAATAGCTAAGTATCAGAAAAAACAAGATCAACACACTTACTCTTGTCTAGATGTTGTCTTGTCTAGATGTTGCCCTGTTTAATTGATAGAAGACCGTCCTAGAATTGTCACACACTTGATTCGGTAGAGATTGATAGATCCTTGAATCCTGATTGCTTCGGTGAAAGAGATGCTAAGGCGTGAGTAAAACTCGAAAATCCTTAGGCCAAATTCCAAAGAAATGACCGTAAACGAGGGGATGTACAAAAATGAACAAGGGGGTTGCGATATCGGATGTCAGGGTGTGAGACAAGTCTCGAAATTCCCTAAGCCCCAGATATGACTACAAACTCTCTCTCACACTTTGTAAACGAAGGCTGCGTCAAGCAGGATGAAACTACTTGATAAACCAGAGTCAAGCAGGGTGAAACTACTTGATAAACCAGAAATCGATCAATGGCTAACCACCAAAATATCGAAAAGTTCTTAGAGAACAAAAGAGAAAACTCAAAGAGTGTTATAACACATATCATATATGGACTCTTATACCGGCCCATTAGGCCCATCAGGGCATTGTACTTAACCTAGATTCCCTATGTATTCTATATATACATTCCAGTGATTAATAAAGTTTCTAAGTTTTCACAACACGTTATCAGCACGATAAGACTCTCTGAGCGAAAAACCCTAATAAATCCGGCCACCACCAAAACCCTAAAAGCAAGTCGAAACTTAAAAGACGCATATCTTCCAAACCGTGAGGAACCAGAAGACGATCTACATATCAAATCGAAGCCCTCGACGAGACGAATCTACTGGTGAAAACCGTTTGTCGATCCAACGTCGGACGCGCCCTCACGCACACTTACAGTACACGACGATCAACCGAAAAAAAAAAAAAAAAACCAGATCCGAGTTTTTCCTTCTTCAACCAGCAGCTTCTCCAGTTTTGGTGATCAATCCTTGGAATTTGTAGCGGCTAACTGAGGTCTATTAGCTCCCAGTTTCATTAGCCTGTCAGAAATCCAAAGGTGGAAAAGGTATCTTCTAAAACTGAGAGCCATAGAACCTGTTGTTTAAACACTTCAAAACCCTATATAAAAAAAAAAAAAATCGATCTCTAATTGATTGAAAGTGTTTGATACTCTGATGATTGATTGATAACTTGTTGATTGATTGTTTAAATTACAAGTTTATGCATGTTCAAAAGTTTTAAACTCGTTTTATAAAACCCTAATCTACAAAAACCTAACAACCGTTTTTGGCCATGTTTATGGCATAAACCTATTCGATTTTCTTCATGTTTAATAAGCTTGTTGCAGCTTATTTGATTGTTGATTCTCTTGCTTGAAACACTTGATTGAATAAACTAAGAAAATCAACCCTAAATCCTAAGCTTGATTCACGATTTTGTAATCTTCAAAATCGTAAGTCATAATGCTTAAACCCTAGTCCTTTTCACGTGATTTCTTTGTTGTCCTTGCGAAATTATTAAAACCATCGACCACAGATCCTATAGATCTCGAAATCACATCCAAAATATGTTTTCCAAACCGTTAAAACCCTAGATAAAACCCTAATCATATTCGGCTCCCCTAGGGTTCCTCCTAAACCGCCTAAAACCGGCTAAACTTGGTTCTCATTAACCGAAATTATATTCGGCTTTAACCGATTAAATCACAGCTATTAAACCGACATCATGTTCGGGGTAACTAAAACCATACCCTTTAAAATTTACTATTTCCGAGAAAGTTCCCTCTAATAGAAAGTTTCCTCATATATATAAAAAAAAAAAAACTTTCCTCATATAGAAATTTTCCCGACATAGAAACTTTCCTCATTTAGAAAATTACCCAAATTAGAAACTTTCCAAATTTAGAAACTTTCCTAAAATAGAAATATTCTCAAAATAGAAAGTTTCATCATCAGCATTCAAAATTTTCTCAAAACAATCCCTAACAAAATCAATCTCATGTTTCAGATGTCAAACATTCAGAAATGTGAATTCGAGGCCCTTCACGTCTCCGGGGATAACTACCTCGAGTGGGCCCTAGACATGCGCTTGTTCCTTGCATCGAAAGAACTCGATGCGTGTATTACCGACGGTAACACCGCATCCCGTAAGGGACAGTCTCAGGCGATATGTCACATACGCCATCATCTGGCCCCGAGCCTTAAGCAGCAATATCTCACTCTTGAGAATCCACTTGAATTGTGGCAAGCGCTGAAAAAGCGATATGACCATCAGAAAATGGTCCAGTTGCCTCAGGCAGATTTCGACTGGAAGAACCTTCGGTTCCAGGACTACAAATCCGTAGATGATTACAACAACGAACTCTTTCGTATTGTTGCCATCCGGAAACTCTGTGGCGAGGATGTGACAGATAATGATCTCCTCGAGAAAACATTATCCACATTCAGCACAGAGAATGTTGTGCTCCAACAACAATACCGTGCAATGAAACACACATTGTACGAAGACTTGTTGTCCTGTCTTCTCCTCGCTGAGAAGAATAACCAGCTGCTTATGAGGAACAGCGCTATGAGGCCCCCGGGATCGGCTCCTGTCCCAGCTTCTCGTCAAGAGTCCTACCATGTTCAACCCGATAGATCCTCAGATCACCGCCGTGGACGTGGTAATGGACGTGGTAATGGCCGAGGACATGGACGTGGAAGACGTGGACGCGGACATGGTCGTGGCAACCGACCTAACCTCAGTTATGGTCCTGGTCGTGGTCGAGGCATCACCAAGCCGACCCGCCACACCAACCCCGATCACTCTGCTTGTACCAGATGTGAGATGTTCAACCACCCAACAAAGCAATGTCGCACCCCCAAGATCCACTGCGATCTATACCAGAAGTACGGAAAAGCTCCTGCTGAAGCCAACATGACTCAGCCAGTCGATGCTGCTAACCTGGAAGGTGACGACCTCCTTGATGATGAGAACACCACAAACGAGCAGACCGACCCCATGGACTATGAAACAACTGATCTTCTCGATTAATTCAATCATCTGAAACTCTGATACAATTTGATTTTGTTCTTTATTTTTTTCATTTTGGGATTTGTTTCATTTTTTTTTCCATTTGCCTTTATTCTCAGACACTGCTTTACTTTATGATTTATCACATTTTCTGAATTCCTCAATACTGAATTCTATCTTCTATTCATAATAAAGCACACCAGCAAATGGAAACCATAGTCGTAGATAGTGGATCCAGCCACACTATCTTAAGAAACAAAAGTTACTTCATAAACCTAACCTATCAAACCGCAAATATTAGCACCATCGCGGGTCCCTCAAACCTTATCGAAGGATATGGCCATGCCTATGTGTTGCTATCAAATGGCACACAACTTGAAATACCAGATGCTCTATATTCTCCTAGTTCGAAGAAAAATCTTCTGAGCTTCAAGGATATAAGACAGAATGGTTTCCACATAGAAACCCAAGGTCAAGGGAACAAAGAATCCCTCCTAGTCACTAAAACCGTAGACGGCCATAAACAAATCCTCGAAACCATACCCGCGCTCTCTACTGGACTTTACCATGCTAAAGTCAGTATGATTGAAGCTAATACCACTCTCAAAGCCCGATTTACTGATTATACTATTTGGCACGACCGGCTCGGTCATCCCGGTGCAAATATGATGCGTAAACTAATTCAAAACTCTCAAGGGCATACCCTCAAAGAAAACCGAGCTTATCCTCAACACCTCATGTGCACAGCTTGTTCTCAAGGCAAATTGATCACTCGGCCTTCACCAGTTAAAATCTCTAAACAAACACTTTATTTCCTAGAAAGAATCCAGGGCGATATCTGTGGACCTATACATCCATCTTCCGGACCATTCCGGTACTTCATGGTCCTTATAGACGCATCGACCCGTTGGTCATATGTTTGTCTCTTGTCCTCTCGGAACCAAGCCTTCGCTAGGTTCTTGGCCCAAATCATAAAATTGCGGGCCCATTTCCCTGACTTCCCACTAAAGACTATCCGCCTTGACAATGCTGGTGAATTTACCTCACAAGCGTTTAATGACTACTGTATGGCCATGGGGGTAACCGTGGAACATCCTGTAGCACATGTCCATACTCAAAATGGATTGGCTGAATCATTCATTAAACGCATTCAATGGATAGCCCGACCATTACTCATGAGATCAAAGCTCCCGGCCTCAGCATGGGGACATGCAGTATTACATGCTGCTGAACTCATACGCATCCGGCCATCTAGTGAACACAAATATTCCCCATCCCAACTACTCTCGGGTCATGAGCCAGACATCTCCCATCTCAAAACATTTGGGTGTTCAGTATATGTACCCATTGCTCCACCACATCGAACCAAAATGGGACCTCAAAGAAGGATGGGAATATATGTTGGTTTTGACTCTCCCACCATCATAAGATATCTCGAGCCAACCACTGGAGATCTCTTCAAGGCCAGATATGCGGATTGCCAATTCGATGAATCGGTATATCCCTCTTTAGGTGGTGAGACAAACAAGCTGGTCAAAGATCTTTCATGGAATCAAACATCATTAAATTGGCAAGATCCTCGGACTCTAGAATGTGATTCAGAGATCCAAAAGATTATTCATTATCAAAAGCTAGCTAATCAATTGCCAGATTCCTTTGCTGACCCGACCAAAGTAACCAAATCGTACATCCCAGCTTGTAATGCACCAGTACGAATAGCTGTCCCAACGGGACAGACCCAAGTTGCT